CTAAAATATAGCAGTGATCAGGGTATTGTGCATTTACGAAACCTGACGGTTGTTCAACATAGGCTAAAAATATTTGAATAACCTCGAGTCTTGCAATAGGGGTAAAGGCTTCTTCATAGCCAATTCCTTCTTGTTGCGAATACCCTTTAACAACTAGCCAAAATTTATTTTGCACTATCTTACCTTATTTATTAGTTTTATTTTTTAAATAGATTTTAAGCCTATAATTGAGGCATCCTTAGATTTCGAAACAAGTCTCAAAACTTTGTTTCATTCGAACTCAGCAAATTCATATTACATAGAGAAAAAAATACATTGAAAATACAAAATTCTTATTGTACATTGAGTACCTCATTCCTTGAACAAAGCTGAGCTCTTGTAAACACTCCAGCTTGAGGATCACCAAGAACTTGTTCTTTTGGATGATTTTATGTCCATCTGACCACAGTTGGATATGTAAAATCAAAATCCAAAGGTGAATCTTCGAACATTTCATCTGTTTTAGAACCTTCACCTACATTAAACACATTATCAGTCATACCATGAAATACATCAGTTTGTATATTGGAAGCATTTGGTAGAGATACATTTTGCTACCCCTCAATAGTTGGATCAATGTTTTGATGCTCCCCCTTGACGTATGCATTCCTCTGACTATGCTCCCGCTCGAAAGTATTTTCCCCTCAACATGATCGGTCAAACTCAAGTGCCCCCCCCCCTCCAATTGATCATTGTTTACTTCTTTTTGACTTCCGTTATGTATTGGAGAGTTGGTTGATGAACCTAAATCGGCATCCTTCCGAGTGATTGTTGAATCATCTGAATGCTTCGATACTTTAGGAATCTGGTTATCATCAACATGTCTTTCTTCATAGATTTCCCTATCAGGAACACCAAAAACTAAGTCATAATGATCATCAAAAGTTACATTGAAAGTTTCTTCAATCTTCCTGACAGGTCAATGTCAAAAGATACATTGAGAGTTTCTTCAATCTTTTATGACATTTTAGACAAGGTCATCCCATAGTCATCGATTCGAAGATCATTGAACCTTTGGAACTTCTTGACATTGACCTTTGTGGGCCTTCGACTATTGAAACTCTCAATAGTCGAAACTTTCAATACCCTATATGACTTGAAGACACTTTCAATGTAACTTTTGGCATAATGATTATCAAAAGTTACATTGAAAGTTTCTTCAATCTTCCTTGTTCGCTTGTTCAATACCTTATATGCAACATAATTGTGCGAATATCCAAAGAATATCCCTTCATCAGCCTTTGATTGAAATTCCGAAAGGGTATCTTTAAGATTCATGATAATGCACGTGCAACCAAAAACATGAAAAAATTTGACATTTGGTTTCCTATTGTTATGGATTTCATATGGGGTTATGTTAAAATGACGATGAATAAAAGATCTAATTTGATTAATACAAGTCGTCGAAACTGCTTCAGCCTAGAGATATTATAGAAGATTTGCATAAGTAAGCATTGTTCTCACTGCTTCACAAAGAGACCGGTTCCTCCTTTCGATAACAACGTTTTGTTGAGGTGTGTAAGGAGATGAAAAATTATGCGAAATGCCTCGTTCAACTAGAAATAAGTCAAGAACATGATTCTTGAACTCTAAGCCATCATCACTCTTGATATTTCGAACCTTCTTCCTCAGACAAAGTTCTATGTGCTTGATGAAATCTATCATTACTTGAGCTGTTTCTGTGACAACCCGAAATTTCCATTATGTACAAACAATATCAAGTCAATAGAAGTAGAACAGTCGCAGTAAATTTTCAGACTTTTCCGTATAAGTTTGAGTATTTCATAGCATATTAAGTGCATAATAACATAGAAATCACATCGACACAGCAATATTTGGGAGTTTACTGCCCAAGAACATCTTGGAGAGTAAACTCTTTTATAAGAGTAAAATGATGCCTAGTCCTTTCCCCTTGATATGTAACTACCTTAGACTTGTATGTTAGTGTATTAGGACATGAAATCACCAATGAACACCAAGAGTAAGGTGTTCACGGCCCAAGAAGTTCTTGGACCGTGCACTCTAAACTCAAGGGCCAAAGAGTGCCTTAATCACTCTTAAAGCCTTGGACAATTGCCTTGAATTACTCCTAGTTAATTTAAGCACCTTAGATCATCCAAAACCCATCCCCATGAGAGATTACGACCGTAATCTCTAAGGGAAATGGTCTTTGGGCCATTAACATCAATCAAGGATACCAAAGTGTGCCTAAGGCCTTCATTAGCCTTAGATAATTGCCTAAAACCTATCCTAGGTGAGCATGGGACTTGAAAACACAAAAATACCCCTTTCCATATGAGTTTACGGCAGTAAACTCAAAAAGAAATGGCCTTGGGGCCGTAAACTCCTCAAAGGAGTGTATTAATGCCCTAAACCCTTCCAAGGATTAAACCATCAAGTAGAATTGCTTCTAGGGATCATGTAACACTTCAAATCGCCAAATAAACATAAGCTTGGGAGCTTACGGCCGTAAACTCAAGGGTTTACGACCGTAAACTCCTTGTTGTTATGACATTGGAGAGTAAACTCATATATGGGTTCCTTTGGAACCCTAAACCCATTAGCCTTGTCCCATAACAACTTAGATGCAATCCTTAGGGATTATAACACTTATATAAAGTGTTTATCATGTTCTAGGGTGTCTTAACATTTTCAATCAGTAGTTTAAGACTAATTGGGTGCATATATGTGTGATTATATGTTCATTAGGATCATAGTGTGTGTACAAGTCCTCACTTGACACCTAGCAATTCTACTACGTTCAGTTCATCCAAACCACCATCTTCAGATTAGTTCATACCCCTTAATCAATGTTTTAAATGATTTTAAATGCTTTAATGATGGGGGGGGATACAAGTAGAAAACAACTTGTTATTAAATCACTCATATGTATTTATAACTGTGTTTTCATCCAGTAGATATCACATACTTCAAAATCTGATGCATGAACTGGTTTTCTGTCTTAAAAATACCTTGGTAACAAAAGTATTACGTTTGAAATGTTTATCAAAATGACATCAAGTCATTGTTAATTATTGTTCAAAACTCATAGATGTCTTATAAAACCATTTTATCTTCTTGAACAAAACTATATCTATACACTTATGTTCTTATATATGTATTGATGTTATAGTTTTCAGCCTTCATTCAGTTTCCCACACTCTTGTGTAGCAAGGGTGTATAAACCTACACTACTAGAAAAAAGGCCTTTTACGACGCTCATTGCGCGTCGTAAAATGCTCAGACGACGCGCAAATGCGCGTCAAGGAAGGCCCTGTCATAACGAGAGACAACGCGCTTTTGCGCGTCGTCTATAGACGACGCGCATTTACGATGCGCACTTATGACATGCAATGCGTATCATTAAAGCCGCTGTCAAGAAAGGCTATGTCATAAATGAAGATGACACACATTTTTGCGTATCGTTATTTTAAGGTTTTTTTTTAAAAAAAAAATTATTTATCGATTTACTAATTTTCAAATTAAATTTGCATTTCATGTCTCATAATAGAAAATAAAATTCCATATACAAAAAATACAATACATTGCACAAAAGTTAATGTCATACAAAAATACAATACATTGTAATACATTGGCATTAAGAGGATCTAATTGTATATTGCTATTAAGAGGTTTTCCCTAACTATATAACCTATTTATATAACCTATTTGCATACGTATGTGTAGTTCCAAGCAAAGTTATTGGGGCTATCTTCTCTTCTTTTTCCTCTAGCACCTTTACCAAATCAAACAACATAAATGATAAAAGTAAAACCACTCGATATATTCTTTAAATATATATAAAAACATTTGTATTATATATATATATATATATATATATATATATATATATATATATATAAATCTAAGCATGAAAAGAAAAAGCTACCTGATACAGAGGTTTCTCGGGTTCCTTCCTTTGCTGTTGTTGTTTGCGGAGGTCAATAACATCTAGAGTTTCAAAACCAATTGGGGTTAGGGTACGGAGGAGAAATAAAAAAGAAAAAACGAATAAGTTTTTTAAACATATTTTATTATTACAATAATAATGATAATAAAAAGGTGGTTAAAAAGAAATAGAAAATAAGACCTTGAAAGGATGAATAACTAATTCTTGGCTACATTTTAGTATTGGACGTTGCTATATATTAAATTCTCAAAGCTCTGTTTTAATTTGCTTTCTAAGTTGCATGAAACATTGAAACCCATGTTAAGCCTTTATATCATATAAAAAGTAAATAACAGATTGTAGTTGAAACCCATGAAAAATGCTAATTCTTGAAAATTCATTACTCCAAACCTGTTTAGACTGACCATTACAACTACCTAGAATGCTCCACACAGCTCCAAAAGGTGGCAGCAAGCTCCACACAGCTCCAAAAGCATGGGAAAAAATTTGAGACCAACAAACACAACAACTAAGCAAAACACAAAGCAGGGGTAAAATGGTCAAAAAGGCAGAAAACACTTCAAAGTTCAAATAGCAACAATAGCAGGTTATTGATGTAGCTATAAAATTAGCAATTAGATACCTATGAAAGAAATCACAAGTATCCCCAAGTTTCCCCTGTTCCAACAATTAATAAAATCAATAATTCACAAATTAGGTTAATGATGTAGCTAATTTTTTATACTCACAAGAGAATAAGGGAATAAGTGATGCAATCGATTTCTGCATGACAGAGTCAGAAAAAAGATCGGGTGTGTTGTGGTTCTTATAACATGCCTTGCTTCAGAACCCACACCATGTGCTATCTCTGGTTCACCTTCCTGCAATATAAATCCAACACGAACAGATTATCAATAACAACTGATGATATATAAGAATTTTATGAATGGTATATAAGAAAAGTTATGATAACGGAAAAGGAACTTGCACTCACTCTTTCATCATCATGTTCTACCTTGTCGCATCTTAAGCATCTCTCTCCCGAGCCAGTCAACTGAACTAGACGAATAATTCAAGCCGGTAACAACTCTGGAACTGCCAACTCCGCCATGTCCAAGGTTGGTAGAAGCCATTTAACACCTGATGAATAGCACAAATGTGGCAACGACTGTTTCTTTAGTAACTTCCAGCAAGTTTTTTATAAATGTCAACCAAGGGTATAATGGACCAAGCTCGAAATAAGTTTATATTTATCCCTGACATGACGTTGAAGTTTTCAACCTCGAGTGTCAATACCAAGCATATCCCTGGAACTTTGTGTTGTTGGATCGATGTATATCAGGAGCTGTAAAATAAAAAAATAAAAAACATTAAATATGAGTAAATGCAAATTGTAACTTACCAATAGACATTAAATATGAGTAAATCAAAAATCAAGAACATCAATCAACCAATAGTTTGATACCAATAAATTCATCACGATTAGCAAGGCTTCTAGCAAGGCTAATTGCTCATTCACTATAATCTATTCCAGTGAGATCAGAGAACCCATTTATACTAACATCAAAAGTAATAAAGTGATTTATCAATTATCATCATACCAAAAGGAGGAATAAATGTTATTATGTATAATACTATACCCCTCTTTAGCAAGCACTTGAAGAAGTAGCCCATTGCCTGTTCCAACATCAAGAACAATCCATCTTGCTAAATCTTTATCCTCTTGACTAACAGACTCAGAGTCATCAATTTTATTTTGAATTTGTAAATGTCTTTGTGAAATGTCAGCACATAGTCCTTTTGTCCATGAAGCAACCATTTCCATGAATATTAGTCAGTTCATGTGCATATGTTGTATCCCAGTAACTTTGATACCCCATATGATTACCTCGGTTAAAGCTTTAATTTACTAAACCTTCAATTGGAACTGAAGAAGCTTAGAGCACTACCCTTGCTGCTGTAATTGATGATTGGGACCCATTTTGCCTAGCAATAACAGATCACAGATGTGACCATTATTGCAACTAAATGAGCTTCAATTTCATTCCATATCTTCAATTCCATTTATCAAACGCTAAATGGTAATTTTTTCCAGCACTAGCAACGTCAGGGTAAGATTGACAAGTTGATTTAGTTGATGAAGAATCTTGATCTTGAAACTGAATTTGAACTAAACAACACATGGGTATCTTCAAAGTCAAGATCAAGAACTAAAGACGATGGAATTTTCTAAAAAAGAAAAACATTAAGAATAAGAACAAAGGAAAAAGGATTAGATGTTTAAGAATCATAGCCCTAATTTGTTTACTAATCACAGATAAAAATGCCCAGATTGGGAAGGAAAATAAACATGCAGGTTCCAAAAATCAAGAAACCCGAACAGTTTATGAAGATCTTATAAAATCAAAGAGCTAAATCGACATAAATTCTAACACTGAAAGAAGAACAAGAAAGGGGTTTGAAAGATTAAAGATGAAAAAACATGAAAGAAGAAATTATACTCTATGGAGGAGAGACTTACCTAAAGTCGTAGGAGAAGAAGTGTTTACGCAATCAGAGTAGTTTTAGGGTTTCCTTCGGTTACTCCCTTCACGTCTCCGACAATCTCCATCTATGGAGGAGAGAGATGAGAGAAAACACGGTGGAGGGGGAGAGACGAGAAGGTGGATGCATCGATTACGGAGAAAACAAACTCAGAGAGTGGAGTAAAGTTGGATTTAGGAGAAGTTCACATGGACGATGGATACCGAAGACCAAAAATGGTAAAGCAGTCGTTACAACATTTGCAGCTCGGAATGTTACTTGATTTTGTTCTGCTTTGTTCAGTAAATAGAGCAAACAATTCCAAGAAGCTGAGATTGTGCCTTCTGCTTCAAAACGAGAGAGCTTTCGAAAACCAGAATCCAATGATGGAGAAGATGCAGCAGATGCAGGCGCTGTTGTGGTGCGATGTTGGAATGGTGGAGTCCGAGAGAAAACACAAATTGTGATGGGTAGCTATCGTTGTTGGTGATGTTTGATTCATCAGAAGCCCTAGTTCTTCGCTCAATTGTCTATTTTGTCAAAGAAGACATTACCATTGCAAATACGTTATGTTTGATTAGGGTTTACACAGAGAAGGAAGTGAAAGTCGATCGTAGAGGAAGGGGCTTGCAGAGAGAAGGAAGGGAGAGAATGAAATCGATCTGGCTGGTGTAGAGAGTACACAGGAAGAGGATGGCGGGTGTTCAAAATTTTGGGGGATTTCATTTCCCCCCTTACCTATCAAGGAGTCCCGCGCAGAAACGCGCGTTTAGTAAAAATTATAAAGTGACATTTGTAGAGGACACTCTTTTTATGAGAGGTGCCCTCCGTGTTTTTTTATTGGACATTAATTTTAGGGCGCGCTAAAATGCGTATCCACTATCCTTCAAATTTTGGAAGGCTAACATTATTTTTAAGGGCACACAAAAAATTCATATCGTAAATCAGCGAGTGTCATTGTTTGCGCGTCATTAAAGGGTATTTTTCTTGTAGTGCTACATGGACAATCAATTACCTTTTAGTTAACTATTATAGGGATAGTTAGGAGATACATAACATTATTCCTATTACAAGGAATTACACCAGAGTCAGTTCATTCATGGGTCTATACTATACATTACATGGTACATGAATATGTCTACATCGACACGCTTACATGAATATATTTACATATATACTTTTATTTGTATGCACTTACATGGATACTTGTACCTAGATTCACTAGGATGATTTACTAGTACATTATGTGTAAATTGTCCTGCCTATCCAAGTTCAACGGGATGTTTAGACGGGACTAACCATTCCGGAACCCATCTGTTTGCAACAGTGGTAGATGAACATCTACGGATTCCTACGGTTATTACTTATACTAGGGGTACCTTTACGGGACTAACCATTCCTTTAACCTGTTGTTCGCTACAGAGGTAAACGACCATCTACGGATGCCTACGGTTAATACTTATATTAGGAGTACCTTTACGGGATTAACCATTCCTTAAACCTGCTGCATCTACAGAGGAAAATTGAAGAATCTACGGATGTTCAAAGGTTATACATTTCGCTAATCGCGATGTCGTGTTAATCCTAATACAAAAGGATAACACTTACATGATAATACTTTTCCTATTACTTTATTTTGTGATACATTCACATAAACGATGAGTTAGACTAAGTACTGTTAGTAATAGTCAAAAAGAAGGAAAAACTATCATTGTTATAGCAAAACATTCGGATCTTGGTAGAAGATTACATTTCATACTAGTAGGAAATATGGGATTTTCTAGGGTTTTCATACTTATATCAACTATTTCATTCAAAGATTTACATGGCATTCATAACAGCCTTCCAAAACAAGGCAATGACACTTAAATACTTATGAATTCACTAGCTTTACGCTGATACTCGCTTTCATAATAACTTGTATTCTCAGGTCACCAGTAGACAGGTGCGATGGCCAGGTTTTGAGATGACGGAGCACATACAAGATTCGTCTTCAAACATCAATTTTTTCAGACACGCCATTGCAAGGATAAATAAATAATAAAAAATCAAAAATTTATTTTATTGCGGAAAAATTTGTCCTTACAATGCAATTCATTGAAAAACTATGCTAATACATATTTCTTAGCAATCTTATTCTAACTCTAAGTAGTAGCTCAAGAATCTAATCTTTAAGTAATGCGATCGAAATCCATTTTTCACGGTTAGATTCTGCTCACTTCTTCCCTTAAGCTTCCTCTCTTTTCTTCGATCGTACAAAACATCAATTATAATCTTATCACATTATGTCTTAAGAATCTAGAATAGGAGCCTAAAAGAGTTAGTCAATGGATTTTACCTAAAGCAGAGCCGTACGTGTTGACTCTCCCATCTCTTAGATCTCTTAGGTAAATATGGCAGCTTCGTCTCCAATGCCCCTTCTCTTGGCAATAAAAGCAAATTGACTCTTTTGGAATAGCACATGGAACTACTTCAGACATTTCCTATCTCTTATGATCAAACTTTTCGATCATGCCATTCCTTTCGTTGCCATTGCCTATATCCATAGAGGTCTAGAAGGCAGATTCACTAATCAACCTTGCTTTTCCAGTGCGCCAAATCTTTGCTGATTCAACAGCAATAAGCAAGTAGGTGAGATCTATAAGGGTGATGTCGTGGTTCATCATATAGTACTCTCTTACGAACTCGCTATACAAGTTAGGAAGTGACTGAAGAACCCAGTCAATAGCCAGCTCCTCACAGACAATGGATCCCAATATTCTTAACCTATCAATGTGTGACTTCATCTCTAGGATGTGTGCACACACCGACTTTCCTTCTTCATGTTTACTTGCCAAAAGGGCTTGAGTGAGCTTGAACTTTTCAAGCCTTCGAACTTGTGGGTTAGGGAGAATAATTGGAGGAGGTGGAGGTAGTGAAGCGTGATCTCTTATTCCTCGATCGAATCGTGGAGTATCATTTTCATATGGAAAGCTTGTTCCACGGGATTTGGGAATACCATAGTTGTCATACTTTGACATCTACAAAACGGGAGAAAGCAAATTCAAGTTAGTTGATTGATTGAGTCCTTAATAAATCACCCAAATGAGATATTAAGGCTAGGACCTAATACAATATGCTACAACCTAGAAAAGGGATGATGTAATCTAGTTGCATAATATTTGAAGGTAAGTGAATGACGATTCACTAATTTCCACCATGAAAAACGAAAAGGAAATTTAAGTTTTAAATCTATGAAAATTCCTAGATCCTTTGAGATTCATTGAACTTTTCAATGGCATGTTTAAATCTCAATATGCCCCTCTAGTTTGTGAATGGGATACCAGGGATCACAAAGTGGGTGTGAATTACCATGCAAACTTACATGGTGCCCCCATATGTTACAGTCACCTATTCGATGTGCCGGTTAACCACACACGCTCCACCGAACTATGACAAACATTGAGTCACCCTTTGCTACCTTTGCTTAGAACCATTTAGCGTGCCGGTTAACCACACACGCTCCATTAACGTCTTCGCAAGGGTACAAAGTGTAATTTCATGGAATTGCATCAATTCACTTTTTCCTAAAGTAACTAAGATTGGGAATTTTGTAAAAGCATTTAGTTACTTTTGTACTTCATTATACTTATAATGGAAGGTTTCTGTCCTATCATGCCCGTTTGGCTAACGACCCTCCACTAGTTAAGAGTGCGGTGGGTAAGAGTGGATACCCATTCAATCGCCATTTTATAGGCAATTTCCTTAAACACCCCTTATAGACTAGCTTCGTGAATGAGGCCTACTAACGGTAAGACTGACTTTTACTCATACTTATATAATATCAGACTTTTAATGTTATATATAGTATAGGGTGTAGTTAACACTTTTAAAATACTAGTTGGTCTAATTTAAAAATTATACCTTTAATTTAATTAAATGTCAACCAAAAACTATATGGATTTATTAAATCTCTTTTAATTATACACCTTAATTATTTAATAAAACCATAAGGGTGTGATTTGAACTTTTCAAAACAATACTAGGGTTTTAGAATTTAACATTCTTAAATAAAAATTTTAATCAACTTTTAAATTCCAAAACTTGAGGGCAAGTTTTGAAACATTTCAAAACATTAGGGTTTAGAATTTAAATATACATCAAAATTAAACTTTTAATCAAAAATTTAAATTCCAAAACTTGAGGGCAAGTTTTGAAACCTTTTCAAAACATTAGGGTTTAACTATTTAAATTTCAAAAGCAAAACTTTTATGTTCAAATTTAAATTATAAAACCTAAGGGTGCAAATTGAAACTTTTCAAA